CCTGTCCGTTGTGTTTTCCAGTCAAATGAAAATATACGTACTTAAATTTTCTAATGGGAGAGAAAGTTACACGAAGTAATGAATGAAAACAATGGGAATGAAAGCAGTATTACAAATTGTAGATTTTAATTCGGCTATTATCATAAAAAAACTAGAAGAGATGCCAGTTCCCTGTAGTGGAGCCTAAACTAGGCGAGACAACACGTGAAACTTAAATGTGGTCTTTCTGTCTGTTTAATCTAGTCACACACATAGTACCATGAAATACTGAATTCAGTCAGCTCTTTGTCTAAGAACGGTCCCTCGGTAGTGGTATTCTCCGACTCAACTGTCGTCCCATGTTTCCGTTTATTGTACGGTAAGGTAAGAGTATCGCGACACTTAAAGCCCAGAAAGTGTCACAAAGGTATGCTGTTGTCAAACCTAAATAAGGTTTGTAAAGAGAAAAACAGATTAAGACAACATATTAAAACATTCTGTTTGAAGAGTTCGTTTTTTTAGTCTTTTAAAACCAAATGTCACCACATTCTCTGTGTATGTTGTTTAAACCAGGACTTCCTAAAAATTTGTTTTTTTTTTATCATGACCATTTTTTTTTGTCAGTCTTCGTTAAAACGATCACGTGATGTAAGAGGGATTTAGTGGATTTGTAATTAATATCTTATATCGTTGCAGTCCCATTGAGATCCTTTTGAAAGTTGAAATCCAAACTTTGGGAAATACTGGTTTAAGGGGAACTGTAATTAGTGACTGGATTATTTCAACACACCAACTTACGAATTTCAACTTGTAACATGATGCCTTTAAACAGAGCCACACCATCAATACATGAATATATATATATATATATATATACAGAATGGGTGAAAAGGTACTGCACAGGTGTTACTAAAGAAAATATTACATAAAACTATTAATTATTGTTTGTTTCAGAGTAACAGTTAGAAATTAAACAACTGTACAATCACTTTTAACCCACTGTCTATATACGCACCTAAAAATGTATGTAAACATTGTGTTGTCTACCAGAAACACAATTTTATTATACAATCTGCAAGCATTGTTCAGCATTAACCTCGAATGTCAGCTATGAAAAACGATGTATGGTCATCTGGAAAGTGGTTTACAAATCTTCCTATGATACATGTCCAAACATGTAGCTCCCAACAACATAGTACTGAAACAATGATTACTAAAACTAATCACCCTGAATGCGTTATACTTACCTTTCCAGATTCGTGTGCACAGTTTGAAGGAAATGCAATACAGCAAACAGAATCATCCTTCACAAAAGAGAAACTTCCAACAATATTTATAAAACCTCTTACTTCCAACAATATTTATAAAACCTCTTACTTCCAACAATATTTATAAAACCTCTTACTTCCAACAATAATTATAAAACCTCTTACTTCCAACAATAATTATAAAACCTCTTACTTCCAACAATATTTATAAAACCTCTTACTTCCAACAATATTTATAAAATCTCTTACT